AAATCAGCTGTACTGAGCCGAAGTGAATGGCCGAACGTTGTTGGCTCACTTCACTTCGACTGGGTTATTTACTTGGCTGCCTTCAGCAGCTTTGTGAATAACCCCCTAAACCTGAGATTGTAGTCCATCCTGGGAGTGAGCTTGGAGCGGTGACTACTTAACAACACACACAGGGACCATGGGGAACAAAAGTAGCCACCCTCCAGAAGGAAGGACAGTGTCAGCACCAATTCAGAGATGATTGGAGGATCTACAGCCGAGTGATACACCAATAAGATACAATTTTAATAGTTTAGGGACTTGAATGTATTTTTATGATTGAACTTAGTGTCACTTTAACAAGCATGTAACCCTTGCAGTACAAGTGGCCCACTGCAAATTTGCCGGAGTTCAGCTTTAACACAGCCTAGGCAAGGAGCAAACATCTGACATGATATATCTGATTTTATAGCACAATTACCGTTTGTTTCCTGAATGTAATAAAATGTCGCACATGTAGCTCGTGCAAGAAGATCTAAGCGTATTGCCTAACTAGAAGCATTCTGCAGAAAGCTGAACTATTCTTAGAGCAAGAACAGAAAGATTGTTAGCTTACTACAAAACATTTGGAATAAATAATAATGGGACAATCTGTACAAGTTACAGAACTTGAAACTTTTTTTCCACTCAGAAAATCAACAAAACATGTTATGTGACCCGGTGTGCCCAATGCTTCACATAGCGGGCCACATGATTAAGCACCAATAGCATGGCAGCAGCTGGTGTTGAAACTAAGGCACATGGGGGCCATGTCATAGGTCAGCCAACTGAACCGTTCAACAGGCTGTGCTGTTCCCTTGGACTTGCTGCATCAACCAGGAAGCGGCAGGCAAATAGTGGATTCTTTGGTGACCTGCCGGACTTTAGAATGCAACACCGCCTTCAATGGGTGGGGAATAACCGCCTCCACAGCTGAGTTAAAGAGGAATTAAGCTCTGAAAGCTGTGCCTGTAAAAAAAATTAGGTGGGAGCCAAAGGACTAGTCACCAGCAATGTCTCAGGCATTCCTGCAGTAGATCTTCCTCCATTACTTACAGCGGCACCTTGTTCTGCATTGTGTCTCTGTGTGAAGGCGGCCATCTTGGTAGAGACAGCGCTTTGCTTTGTCACGTCAGAGCCTCCTGCAAGCAGAACAGTGATCGCCACAACGGTGACATCACTGAATCTCATAAGACTAGCAGTCTGAGGCAGCAGTGCCCTAGATCTCACAATGCAGACATACAGCTATGATTCTGTAGGCATAGGAGAGCCTAGGTACCCTCACATACCAGGAGGTTCTCTGCTATGTTTCAGGAGGGGTACAAGACAAAAAGATACATTTTATAGGATAATGCTTAGTAACAACTAACATTTCAACATTTTTTTTTCCTATAACATAGAAAATCTTCACTTTTTGCATTCGTTCAGGTGCACCTTCAAAGGCAATCTCCTGCCCATAAGACTATACAAGGCTTCCCTCGTCTTATTATAATGAGTAAAACATATAACCAGAGATTCTCTTTATTATAAAAACAGAAAACATTAAATGACACAACGGACCTCAAAAAAAATAAAAGTTCCGGTACCCAGATGCAGTTGGGCAGAATGGCAGAAGAATCAGCTTGGTTGCCATTGGGCAGCACAGACCGCCTGAGCCAGTGATAAACCCAGACACATGTAAAAGGCCCGTGTTAAATCAAATACAAGAAAAACATGATAAAAATATTCACAAACACATACTAAACAATATAAAGAATTTCAAAGGACCATTTTATACTAAGGAGACTTCTTCTATGGTAATATATGAAGTCATACTAACTAACGTAAAGATTGTCCATTTCTCTATATGTGACAGGTTAACACTTTCAGACAAAATCTGCCTGTTTGTGAACATCCTAAAATGTGTCATTCTAGCATGTAGACTTAGCTCCAGGTCATAGCTCGGGGTCACTCCCTGCATTCAACACAGCAAGGCGGATGCCTCCTTGTAGGTCACTTTGTCCTGCATGGGTAAAAGGGCAAAGCCCACCACCTGACCCACTTATACACACCTTCCATGCACTCCCCACCACTCCTTCCTCCAGGAGTCAAACCCTGTGCTGGAGCTTACACAGGATTGGTGATCACGTGACAGTTTTTGGGCCTAGCGATTGGCTGCTCAGACCTACGCGCTGCATTCTGGCAGAAGGTCACACATTCAGAAGCATTGGGTATTTGCAACAGCTCAGCCAGAGTGACAGGGGGAGCACAGCAGAGGGTATACGTGGGTGAGAAAAATAGCTGTCACATTGCTCTGAATTGTCAAAGTGACAGGGTCTCTTTAAAGTGCCTCTGTCATTAGAGAGGGTCGCCATTGCTAGCCTCTTTTTGAAAATGCCAACATGCTGTAAATGAGTTTCAGAAATGGTCATTGACTCAAAGTGCTCCCATCATTGGAGAGTACATTAATTGGAATAATGGATGGGAGGGGCGCACAGAACTTCCTCTTGGAGCACAGGCAAGATCTGCATACAGCGCACCCCCGGGGCAAGGATGTGGAGAATTAGAACAAGGCACTGGCATGTACCCACATCGTATGCTGCTTCCTGGCACATGGTAGTTTTAGTGTTATTTGTATTTTACAACAGGTTCCCTTGAAGCCAGGAGTGGACAAATTAAAGTGGAACCCTTTCTCTACATTTTTGGTGGAGTAGGAAGCCTGACAGATGGTCTGTGTACCCAATGATGAGATTTACTCTCCATTCCTGTACAAATCACAGGATGGGAAGTTAAAGGAGAACTATGAGGTGAGTGCTTTTCACTCACCTCATAGTTCTAGCCGACCTGTGACAATGAGACTTTCACAGGTCGGCTCAGTAGATCGAGAGGTGAGCGAACATATACCGGCGTTCACTCACCTCTCGATCCTGTCACGGCTGGATTCCCCCCTCCAGCGCTGACTGGCGGAACGGACGGGGGAGGGTACAGCTGGCTCTGCCTCTAGATAGGCATAGCCAGCTGTCAGTCACGCAGCTGGGCGGATCCCGGCACAATTGTCGGGATCCGCTTCAGCTGCGGCATCTCAGTATACCGTGAGCAGCTGCTCGCGGTATACTGCGGCGTCTCAGTATACAACTCGCTGTATACTGAGCCTAGGGTGACGGGAGGACGCCAGTTTGTGTCCTCCCGTTACCCTAAGGAGAACTATGGGGAAAAGACTTAACCCCATAGTTCTCCTTTAAGGAATATGTCCCGAATGGAGACACAAACCAAGACAAAAGTATAGGTCTTCGTAGCCTTATCCAAAGCTTGTCTGGCTTTAGTTCCATTGTAAAGCTGAACTCCAGAAAGAGCTCATCAGTCTGCTGGTTCTCTTTTTTATTGTCCAGTTATAGGCTGGGGGTGCAAAGTGTTCTGTAAGTGTTAAAAAAAAAGGCAGGCAGAGCTTAAAAGGCTAGTCACCATTGTGGCTCGTGGGCTTACTGCGGCCAATCTCTCCCCATTACTGACATGTATTCTACATCGCTGTGCCTGTGTGGAGGTAATTATCCGAGGATGACACCAGCACACCAGAGTTGAGAGTGAAATTAGCAAAAGTCAACTTATTGAAGGAACATTGCCATTCAAGAACAAGCGCTTTCGGGGGCCACATGCCATTCTGAGCCTGATGAAGGGGACCCTCTGTGGCCCTGAAAGCGCTTGTTCTTGTATGGCAATGTTCCTTCAATAAGTTGACTTTTGCTAATTTCACTCTCAACTCTGGTGTGCTGGTGACATCCTTGGATAATTTCAGTTATTTCATGGTGTCGTCCATGGCCGCTGCAAGCACCCACCTGTTTCATCAGGTTATCACTTCAATCCGGTAATGAGTGCAGCAGGATATCTATATATTACTTATGTTTGGAGGCAATGACCCCATTACTGACTTACAATGCATTTTGCATCAGTGTGTCTCTGTGTGGAGGCGGCCATCTTGGTAGAGGCCGGGCTTTGCTTCCTCATGTCAGAGCCTCCAGCAAGGAGAACAGTGAGCAGCACAGCAGTGACATCACCAACTCCGAATCTCCAAAAAGTGCTTTAGACCTCGCATTGCAGATATACAGCTATGAGGCTGTAGGCACACTCGCATACCAGGACGTGCACTGCTATTTTTCAGGAGGAATTGCACATAAAAAAGGTACATTTAAGGCACTGCTTAGGCACAATGAACACATCTAGATGCCCCTTATAACATAGCCAATCTTCACTTCTGAGTTCAGTCCACTTTGACTGCAGCAGAGAAAAAATCAAGTCTCCTGCCCAGCCAGAGAGGGCAGCGTTGTGTGGCAAAGCTGCGTAAATCTCAGAGCTGGATGGACAAAAATACAAATTGTTTAAAATGTAAAACAGCTACCTTATAAGCATTTCAACTATTTATATATTTGTTTTCCTGAAGTTCAGCTTTATTGTAGAATTCAGGACCCAGTCGGTCCAATCTAGGAGCCAGAAAGCCCCTCTAAGGGGACCGTGGGAGGGGGAAATAAAAGCTATAATACGATAGATGCCTATGTGGCTGTTTGATCATCACTACTTACAAAACAGGAATGTGTACTTATTTACGAACGTTTTACATATTCTTTTTTTTATTAGAAGGGTTACAATCCTGTAAAAGTGCATTGGTTTACACAAGAAGTATAAAATAAATACTAAGAAAAATCCAGAAACTGTGACATCTGAGGGTTGGGAAATAAAAGGCTCCCCTTAAACTAGAAGCAGCTTCTGGAAAGCATGTGTGGGACACGTGTGGTTCTCAATGAAAGTGCTTTTACCATGGCAGAAATAAAGTCACAGAACTAAACAAACAAAGAAGTGTAGAGACGCGGTGCTGCATAGATCTACAGCCTTTCCCATCATCTCCTAAACTTGATATACAAGAGATTAGGCCCTGATTACTATACACGGGATGTATATACATACACAGGATCAGCCTGGAGCTGTCTGTACAATTAGGGAGGGCAGCTGGCTTCTTCTTTTTTTACCACTGCTCCCAACTAAAGTCGTCCCCTCTTCCGAAAACGATGAAAAATCCCAGGATTGTACAAAAGATCACGGTGTTTCCTGCCAGGACCAGGCCACAGGCTCCCCATTGGATCTGCAAAACAACGGAAGCAAGTTTAATCTGTTTATATTGTTTGCGTTTCCTAGTTTATCCTTTCCTCCCTCATTAACGTGCTAATGACATTTTTAAATGAGGTCTTTCCCTTTTCATAACATACCTTATACCAGGGGTGTCAAACTCGATTTAACCGCGGGCCGCATCAACATTATGGTTGCCCTCAAAGGGTCGGTTGTATCTGTAAGACTATATAAATGTATCTAATCTTTATCATAAGTGCCTCTGCATTCGATTATTAATGGTTTTAGTAATAACTTGAAGGAGAACTATGGGGTCAGGGCTTTTCCCCATAGTTCTCCTTAGGGTAACGGGAGGACACAAACTAGCGTCCTCCCATCACCCTAAGCTCAGCTGTAGCTCGCGGTATACTGAGACGCCGGAGCGGATCCCGACATCGAAATCCGCCCAGCTGCATGAGTGACAGCCGGCTCTGCCTATCTAGAGGCAGAGCCAGCTGTACCCGCCCCCTCCCCCGTCCCTTCCGCCCGTCAGCGCTGGTTGGACGGA